TTTGCAGATAACTAATGCGAAGTTTTTTGTTTAAAGAGTTATCACGCTCCCAAGCATCTGAAAAAAGATACAGTAAAAATATCAATATATTTCATTTAGGAGTATAAATATTCCAATCATAATCGTATAACATGTCTTACAACATAATGAGATAATTCATCTCAATAATTTTGTTAAGCAAATAATAGGAATAACATTAAAACGTCAAATACATATTGCGAAATAGTAAGTAACTTCTAAATATTATCGATCCGTTTTATGCATTTCATGTACACAAAAACCCATTAACTACTCAACAATGCGATGTTATTGCGCTGCTGATAAAATAATAGGTATATTGTTCCCTCGTAAGAATTAAAATCATCCCGCGCCGCATCATTATCGTTCGGAATATTTTAACGACATCGAAAGAAACACAACTAATACAGACTGATTGAATGCGAGACAGTGAAAGAAATACTTGATGACATAGAACGAACGAAATTCCCCCGAAAAGAGAAAAATTTTCATTTTATACATTACCGAGTAATATTTAAAGCGAGATTTTCTTAGCGAAACGAAAGCCGAAAATTCGACGGCACACACGATATCGGGGGCTCGGTGGACCGCGATTCTGCGCCTGAACTTTCTGACGTCACCTGGACACCAACCAAGGATTGGTTAACGCTTTAGCAACAATGGTGGACTTCGATTTTTCACGATTAATTGTTCCAGAGAACTGATACAATTTCACGGATCCTCGAGACTAATTAAATACGAGGAAGATGATAAAAACATACATGTTGTGAGATGCGCGAGTAAATACTATAATAGCCTAAACAAAGAATAGAAACAGAGCTTATATCGTAGAGGTGATTCGATGATTTTTCAAAAAAAAGCGCGCAAAAGGTATGGATCGTCAGGTGGACTCCGTTCGGATACGCAGGACGAAATTTGTTCGCAAGACGACCTGTGTTTTCTATGCCTTGCGCGCGGCAGTATTGATCCAATAGCACTGAATAGCACGAATAGCAATGATAGCACACCATAGCCGCGCCCATGTCATCTTCTGTCGATTCTATCCTAACATTTATTCGCATACAATATACAATATCGACCATATGTAATTCGTGAAAAAGACATTTGTAACTGCTGCTCTGCAGAACGATACAAGCACGTGGAATTTGTTAACTTTCAACTGACCCATGCGTTAACATATAAAAATAAAACTTACTTCGTAGATTTTTCGTGAAAGTTAGTCTCTGGGAATAATTAGAAACGTAAAAGATATTTTTCAATCATTGAAAAACACCATTGATGGAGTATATATGTATAGATGCAACCCGTTATACCCGCGTGTATTCTGTGTGAATAGTGCATCATCTATATCCACATTCATGCATTTCAGATTTTGATTTGAGAGTATGTACTCTGAAGTATTTTTGTTATGTTACTAAAATATCGATGTTGTACTGCCAATTTAACTCCTGTGGAAAACTGAGAAGAAAGTACCTTTTTTTTTAACTTTCTTCGCGTTACCATCGGAAGAAGGGTAGGCTCGCGTCCATTTCTTTCAGAATTTACACGTTCCTTGATATTCTTTCTTTAGCATATCAAGGAACGCGTAGAAAATTCGTTGAAATAAATCTTTGAAACATCAACATATCGAAGGAGAAATGGCTTTTATAATGGGAAGCAGAGAAACCAATGGAATGAATAATGAAGACAGAGAACGTTTCCTGTCTTTTAAGATGAATGAAGATTACAAGTTTAAGGTATTTGTATGTTTATACTTACCACATATATGTAACTGTTTAGTAACATGAAATGCCTTATATTCTAGTATATACCTGAAAGTCATTTCAAGCATGTAGTGAAAAGCGTACAAAGACAAAGATGCAAGGAGGACGAAGAGCGAATCTGGACTTCATTTGTTCAGGAACAGGAGTTAAATGATCTAAGGTTTCAAGGGAAAGATGTTCACCCATCTATAGAAAGTGTCAAATATCTCTTGCAAGAAAATATACAAGATGTAGATAGAGAACTGAAGAGACTTCAAGAAGATGCTCTCCCTGAACGAAACAAAGGGATTTGTAATCATAAATCAAATAACAGAAACGGAAAAGCCCCAAATACAGAAGTAAGTGCCTTCTAAGTTTTTCAATGTGACCATCGTATCGTGTTCCAAGCAAAAGCAAGTTAATGTTGTTTTTTAAATACTAGCTAAACAGCAAAAAGAACAATTCTCTAAAAGAAACAGCACAGATAAAAGATAAAGGTATACACAAAGCTAATCCTGTAATTCCCATGTTACAAGAAGATAATATTTTGAATTATAAAGATTCTGAAGAATCCAAAAAAGTTCTGAGATCAAGGACCAAAAAATCTGTATCGGATCCTTTCATTATACAAAAGAAGCATTATACAAATCAACTCCTTCGTGCAACCAATCACTTTGAGAGTGATTCAGATTCAGAGTCGAGTAGTGACAGAACCAATACTGTTCATGTACAAGCAGATCCACTTATAATACACAAAATTTTCGCAATGCAAAAGAAAATTTCTGAATTACTAAATGAAATTTCATTTAGATTACACAGGATTCCTCTGCCAGATGGAGATAACGATCTGAAAAGAAGACAACAACAGACTATGGAATTTGCCATTAGATTTTCAAGAAACTATCTGTACAATCTTAACAGGCTTGTCACAAGCATTCAAAGGCATATTGGAGCTGTATCTTCTAGAATAAGGCTAAAGCAGTGTCATAGAAGTACTTCATTTCATCAAGATATGATTAAACAGAAATTGATTGCTGCTCATCAATTATTAATACAAGCTTTAATTGCTTATTGTAAACATATACCTAACTCTACACCCGAGGGTCATCCTACAAAGCTTCAAAATGTATTACAGATTGTCAGCACTTTGAGAGACATTTGTAACAAAATTGCAATCTCTGCCAATTATTACTGTTCCGGGGATACCAATACCTTACCAGTGGTAATTTGTTTAGCAAGAACAATTTTACTAATTTAAAAACAAAGTTCTTCATAAAAATCTTTCATTATAGGAAAACGATGTTCAAGATAATATTGACGCCATACTGTCTAAATTAAAATTGAATTTAGATTCTAAACATCAACCTATGAATCATAAGAACGTTGAATCTACGGTGACCCTTGCAACAACATCTTTACAAAATGAAAGGCGATCCAACAAAAAAAATCTATCCAGTCGACTAAGCATGTACAGTATAGATGTACCTAAAACTAAGCAAAAAAAGAAGATAGATTTAAGAAGAAAAAGTATGCGACACTTATCCAATATTTTCGGTTTTTATATACTTTATTTTAAACGTATTAAAAGTGTATACTTTTCAGGCCACGTTTACCAGAAAGAAAGGAAATGTAATGTTGTGGACACAAAGAACATACACGTTCAACATAATTCGATACCCGAGTTATTGTATCCCAGTCCTGTCACACATACCTCGTCTTCTAGGGATACTGTTCTGATTGAATCCACGAAAAAAGTGAACTATTTGAAAGATGACGATGTTAAAACTATGATGGACGAAGTACCAATCGATTCGGAGAATGTAAGATGTATTAATAATAAATATTGACATTTTAGAATCTGTTTGAAAAAGGTAATTTTTTGAAATAGGATAGTAATTTAGAAATTCAAACCAAACATAGTAATGCAATGAAAGTAGAACAGTCTAAAGAACTACGAAAGAAGTCTTTCACTGAAATGTGGAAATCCGAAAGTACAAACGATAAAGAAAAAGATATTAAAGTACAAAATGTTTCAAACGATGATGATTTGGTAAAAAAGGTAACAACAATTACCAAAGAACATTTGTCCACTTTAGTACCTGTAATAAATGATTTAATGACTCTTGTATCAAAAAAGGTAATTCTATATAATAATAAATGAAAACACATTTTAATGAAGATAATTATAACTTAAATATTAACTACAACAAACGTGATTCAATAGCAAACAGAAGTAGAAGCACAGCCTATATCAGAAACATCTATGGAGACACTAATGGGGTTTCTACAAAAATATCAGTCTCCTAAGGACTTTGATACAAAAGCATGTTCAACAGAATGTGGTTGTAATCGTTTGCATTTTAAATCAAATAGGTAAATTAAGTATAACGATAAAAGTACATCTCACTTAGGTCAAATAAGAATAAATGTTTTCTGTATTATGACAGCATATCTGAAGTTCAAAAACGCGATAAGAATGTGCAACTGATTTGTATGTCATCCAAGGATAAAACTTGTAGAACAAGACAATGCGATGCTTCTTGTCAAGCAGATGAAACTGCGATAAATGTATGTAATATAATGAAGCATATGTCACTGGAACACATATTATAAGAATCATTATAATCAATTTTCAGATGTCCAGTGATAGAAGAACAATACGTTTAATAACCAGAAATAAGTTGCAACTTACCATAGCAAAAGAGACTAAGCAACGGATTTTAGCATATAAAAATGACTATAAAAGACTGTGTGAATTGAGGCCAATGTATTCCAGCAATACGCAAAACAAACCATGGGATATTGTAGCATGGTAAGAATATAAAAGAACATATTATTTGTCATATAAACTTCAAATGATACATTTTTTTAAACAGGATATCTGACAAATTGGTGGAGGAACTGATAATTGAAACAACAAAAGAATTACCAGTGAACGACATGATAGAAAAATTATACGAGATGGAGTTTCAAGAATTTTGAAGAACAACGTTGCTTAATGTTAAACTAGAGAATCATCTTTATGAAACTAATTATTTTTCAAACGATTTTTACTTGAAATACAAACTTTTTAAATAAACTATTACTTTATATACCAATGTTCAACTTATTTGTTCATTTGTAAATATCGATCGAATCACCGAATCAATGCAGTACATACTTTCCACTATTATATGATGTATTTTTATGTACATATATACATAAATACATGATATATGTACTATCTCAAAGAGTGAGTGAACAGAAGTTTGTCGGTAAATAACATGGCGGTGAAACTAACCAATTACGATGCTCGTTGTATGACCAGTGATGCGGGTAACGACGATTAATAATTAGAATACACAAAAATACTTTAATTTTATTAGAAAGATACAAAATGAGACAAGTAGTTTTAAGACTGTACAAAGATTTGTTGCGGTACGGTGAAAATTTGAAATATACAGATAAAAGATATTTCCGAACTCGAATTCGTAACAGTTTTAGAGGGAATAAAGAGTTGACTGACCAGGCACAGATTGATTTCCAGTTGAAGGTAAAATAAACGTTACTATACACCAGGGTTATATTTACAACTGTCCTTAAATAAGTTAGCCTATTTTACTTAACCTAAAAAGGAAATATGTTTCATTTCAGAAGGGACAGGAGCTTTTGTGCAATCAACGGGTTGTTTAACTAACTGAGTATTAACAAAAGTGGATATGTAATTATATATGTAAGAATGTTTAAGTCATTATTATGCAAAAATTACTTTCTTCAACCCTTGCTCGCCAACATATTTTTAAAACCTCACGGAAAAATTAGTGACTTAACATGCGGCAGAAGTAATAGGAATTTAAACAGATGGTTGAAGGACCGTAATCAACTACGGTACAAATCCTATAAACGGTACCTAGATTATTCGAATGTGCCTGAACTGATCGAAAGTGACCTCGAGGAACAACATGTTAGAGGATCTGGACCTGGGGGTCAAGCAACCAACAAAACGTCTAATGCAGTGGTTTTAAAACACAAACCTACCGGACTCGTAGTAAAGTGCCACGAAACGAGAAGTTTGCAGCAAAATAGGAAAATTGCCAGGGAAATCATGCTGACGAAATTGGATAATCTAATCAACAACGAAAATTCCCTTGAAAGTCAGAAAGAAATATTTATGAAACAGGATTCTGTAAAAAAGAAACAGAAACAAAAGAAACTGACTGCCTTAAAGGAATCTTTCAAGGAACGGGAAAATCTCACATAGTTACTCATTTGATAAAGTGTATAAATTGCATTAAGTCTCTTGCTTTAGGTACTTATGAAACAATTACGTTAATACGTTGAAATACTGTGAAACGAATTAAAATAAATAAAAACTAAAGTGGTATAATGGAAACAGATGCAGTATCGTATATAGGATTGTCTTCGCATACTATATATACAATAGGCGAACAATGTGAAAGGTTATAAAAAGCGCGTAGAACGTTTCTTTTGATTTTAATGGAAAATTCATATCTTTAATAGTCATCTCTTTTTTTGTAATCATGAAAGGCTTACATTACTTTTCTTCGAAATAAAATATTTCGGTGGACCCTCGAGAGGGGATTTAATGTTTAATGTTACATTCAATGATGCATTTTGTAACAGAACATGATCGATACGCTACAATAAAGCTTTTTATGCAGCCTTGCGTAATTTGAAGATTGCTTTTGCGAATGGAAATCATTTCTTTTGTACGTAACATGTCACGCGTATGCCCATGCGAGGCAAAATGAAACAAAACTCTTATAAACACAGATGATACATACATACAAACGACAAAATTTCTTGTTTAAGAACGCAATGACTGCATCTAAAGAATGTACAGGGGGTGGGGTGGGGGAGGGCTTTCGTAACAGAGCCGTTATTGGAAAAAACACTAAGAAGAATATTAATAAAATCCTATCGATGGTGCCAATAGCGTTAAATACTATTCTACATACACAAATAATGTTTTATACAGTAATGTACACTTGCAGAGAGGGTATAGAGTAAATTTCAATATCGAGATCCCGTGAAAAATGTGTCCCGGCCTTGAAATTTAAGCTATACAACCGAAACCTTATCGAGGATTTCAGCTACTCTTCAACCACCGTCCGAACTGACCACGACCGGTCTTCAAACGTTTTTTCGGTGGTTGCACATTTGATCTCGGGGAACTGGAACTTCTTAACCGTCTGTTACTCGCGATCGTTACCGAAAGAATACTGTGGTCCATGTCTACTTGATCGTCGATCTTCATCATTCTAACAACCGGCTGAAACTCGATGCTCGAACGCCTTTGCTCGAGTTCCGACGTCGTGATGATAGTCGGACTAACGCGGCCCGACAATGCGCACTCGACCTCGGAATCCTGAGTCTCCGACGACACGGCGTCGGCTCGTCGCTTAACGCCCCTCAGGTTTTGTTGCTTTTTACACGTAATACTTAAATAGGAATCTTCTTTACAATTCTCATCTTCGAACACAGCGTCGGAAGGTATGTTATCTCTTCTAGCACATTTCCGCGAGTACATTCGTTTCTTAGACGTTACTTTACTCCTTTTGTAGACGCTGTTGTGATGTTCCACCTCGGAGTCCGGATTCTCCGAATGGAGTTTCTGCTGGCGTTTTCTTGGCAAACCGTTCGCGTTGTGGTGTTTCCGGGGAACTATTCCAGCTTCGGTTTCTTTTCTGCGTAGATTCTCGTGGTTCTCGAGCTCAGCACGCGATTCACATGTTTCGGCGGACGTGTTGTCACGCTGACGTTTCTTTATAGTCGCTTTCGCGATAAAACGTCGTTCCGCGATCGAGTTCACATCTTTTCGAAACACATGATTCTCGTCGTTACCTGGATCGTTTTCCGATATCTCCTCGATCTCTGATAAATCGTTCCTGAACGTGTAATCTTTATTTAATATGAAATTCCTTTCAGTCTCGTTGCATATGTCGGGCGTATGGGGTGGTTCTGTACAGGTTTCTGTGTTTGTGTGTAAAACGGAATCGTCAAGCGTCTCTGCACTCGCATCATTCTTCTCGGTCCCATCGTGACACGTGTTGGAGGTGATATTCGAGGAATACACTTCGCATAGGCACGCATCATCTTTTCGATGGCCAACGGATATCGACTGTTCGTTATCGTGAGAGATACTAGGAACAGATGTCGGTATTCTGACATTGGATTCCTCAGCCAATCGATCAGTAGTGTTCGTGTCCTGCACGTCGCAACTAGTCTCCACCTGTTCGACATCCTTTCCCGTCACGTTCTCCCTGTCGCCACAATCGACGTCAACCGAAGGTTTACTTTGAAGTTTTTTCTTCATCTTGATTCCAGGCCAACCCGTACGGTTTTTCCTCTTTTTTCTCCGTTTCGATGGCGACTCGACGTTACCCTCGCCGCATTCCGAACTGGCGCACGACGAATTTTCTAAACAGTTCGCGATCTCGTGACAATTCTCCAGCAGTTCTAGTAAGTTCGAGGGAGGCCCTTTCGGAATATTTGGTTCATAAAGATTCGATTCTATCTGAGTGGTATCCGGTTCGAAAGAGTCATTCACATCAAAATTGTCCGTCCCGTTCAGCATTTCGTCGAGCGTTTTCACCATGTCCTTTAATTCTTCGTCTATATCCAGCTTCAATTCGACTTTTTGTTCCGGTCTCGGCGTGTCTGCTTGCGATCTAATGATCTGACATTCGTCTATCGTATACAATTTCGAAGTCTGCTGTTGCTGTTCCCGTTTCCTAATTATCGTGGACATAATGGCCAATGTCGACGCATGACATCGAGGACTCTTCCTTGGTGATCGCCCCATGCAACCCGTACTCCGGCCACGGCCTTTCCTCTTGCTTTCGCTTCTACTTTGATTTTTTGCTAGAATTTCGTGAAAATTTTCAATTTCATACGGTAAAAGAAACGGCTTCTGCGAGTCCCGTTGGCTAAAATAATGCCAAAATTCTGCTCCCTCGTCTTGCCGCTGGTACGTCTGATACCATGGCTCAGATGCTGGTATAGCTTCAAAGGAGAACTGCATCTTTTCAACTTCTGGCGAAGGTTTGGACGGATATACTCTCTCCTGTTCGTCTACTTGCACATTTTCTATTGTTTCCTGTGTTTTCGCCGTTTGTTCGACGGGCGACGGTTCTTTTATTCCAGTCAACGGTGCCTGATATCGTAATCTACTCCCAGGAGTTTCAAATTTGTAATAATCCTCGTTGTCTTTGATAAGAGCCTCCGCCTGCGTACGTCTTCTTTTCCTAGCTCGACCCAAGTTCAGAGAATCTTGCGAATCATCCTCGATTGTTTCTGACTTCACAGGCGATGCGCAGTCTATGGATGAACCAGGGAACTCGGAGCTTACCGTGTCGTTACATTCACTCTCGGTTTCCCTTGGTAATATGCTACTTTGTTCATCGTCGCTTGTTTCGCTGGAGTCCTCGCGCCTCGGTTCCCCGAACATGAAGGACTCCGCCTCGTCACTAAGCAACGATAATTCGGATTTTCTTACGCGTTTAAATCGTACAACTACTGGTTTTTCGCTAGATGGCACTTCCTTTCTATCCTCACCATCGACATCTTTCTGCACAGCACATTGTGAATTACTGTTCGATATTACACTTGACCTTAACTTACTTCCTAACACTTCGACTTTGTAATACGCACGATTATCTTCGATCAAACGTTCCTCAACGGATAGTCTGTGTCGTCCCCTGAAGCCCCTGCCGCCCCGTCTGCTTGATTTGAAACATCTCGGCGGTTTGTCTGCTTTCACATCATTCTTGTCTACATCGTTTAACAGTTTATTTATACCTTGTTCATCTTTTATAACATGACCGTTACAGACGACATCTGTATTAACACCGACGCATATTTCCGAACTCTTTTTTATACATGTTGTTACGTTTTCCAACTGTAATTTACAATTTAACCCCTTTACAGTTTCGTTTCTAGATATTTTGCAGGAATCATTGCAATTGTTCTCATTTGTACTTAAAGTAACTTCGTTAGAATTATTTTTTACACTACCATTCATATGTTGTTCATGATTTCTGTATTGCACAGAATCGCGATTCTGTCTAACTTTTCCCGTATTCGCAATATTATTCGGTTCGTTATACGAAACTATTGATTTCTGGGCATCTTCATTATCGGAATTATTTTGCTTATTACAAACGTCCCCACAGTCTTTCTCGTTCTTGCATTTCTCTCCTAATTCTGTTGAAAATGCTTTGATCTTATACTCATCCTGTTTGGGCTCCTTTAATTCCTGTACTTGTATCAAGACATCTTCCGGTTCATCCTCCTCTATCCAAATGGTTCCTTTCGCTCGTTTTTTTATAGTGTAACCCTCAAACTTATCATAAAATTTCTCCGGCTTCTCTACCTCGTGCCATGGACTGCCTTTTGATCTCAACAAATGACCGCTTTCGTGTTTCGCACGAGTTCGTAAATTGTGTGGTGAACTTAGTCTTAAATTGAGATTCCTTCGTGCACCATTACACTGCACCATTTTTATGTCTTCGACTTCAAAATCTCCTAAGCTTTTCGAGTCCCTATTGACTTTTCCTTCTGGCAGTACTATGTCATGAAGATTACGATCTCCATTGGAAAACAGGTTACAGTCTTTTCTGTTAAATAAAAAAAAAAAACAAATGCTTATCAAGTACCAAAGTTAGGATGAAAAACAAATTTATCATAAATAAACAGTAAAACAATTACATACTCTATATTTTTTGTTCTGTTCAGTTTTAGAAATGCTTCCACATTAGCTCCTGCATTGATCAGAGTATCCAAAGACAAAAAATTATCATTGTTTCGCACAAAGCTGAGGTGTTGATCGCTTTGTACATGCTTGGTCAGATCTCGGTAACTAATACGACAAATTTCACAATAACCAGACGATAACTGTTCAGTTCTGCGAGCACGAGTGGCAGTTGTCCGTGGTCGCCGAGTCATCTCTCTATCCTGTCCATTATTTAAAGTATATTATCGCGTGTACAATTGATCAAAACGTTACATTATACACCATACATCGTATGCATGTTTTATGCTGTTACCTCCCCTTGTTTGACAGGCTGAATTCCTTCCCTATTTTCTTTTATTTCTACTCGCAACTTTTCCGGCCTTTCTCGTCTTTTCGCGTTGAAAGGACAAGAACCTGGATTTCCGGAAAAATTTAATGTTGGCCACACAGGTAGTTCAACAAAGACAGGTCTTGTGTTTCTAAATACAGATAGAAGTGTAATAAACAATGTAGTTTATAATTAAACGATAAGCGCGGAAAAACTTACCTTTGAAAGGCCTCAAATTTTATATAAGGTCCCTTGAGATGCCTGACCTTTAAATCCTTGGTTGAACTCTGCTGATAAGAATGCTTTGATTGTTTTAGATGATTGGTATCTTTAACAGACGAATAGATTTTATCGAGCCAAGCTTGAAGTTTATCGACTGCCCAAATAGGAATTCCCCAACTTTTGGCGTTGTAAAGTGGATCCACAGAACACTGTTGTGGCTGTATCAGAGCACGTTCCAACATTGCATCCACTCGCGATTTCTACAATGTTTCATCGAAGAATACAGAGAATTAAGAACTACTCGATGCAGAAGTAAGGTTCACTTAAATGTCGTACTTACAGATCTTTGGGTAGTTTGACCCCTTAGAGCAATTGAGCTAGATAAGGTAGAGTCAGGACTAAAATACGGTGTCTGAGGAGTTGGCATAGGAGTTGGAGTTTCTAAACTCCTCAGTGAGGGAGGTCCCCCACTGCCTCCACTGGCACAACCCCATTTATGTTTCTCTAAGTTTATGTAACCTGACTTGTTTACCCTGTCACTAACTACCAGGTTGACGCTCCGTACTAAAAATAACTCTATCACCTAAAAAGGAAAATGGAGTTTAAAAAATGTACAGTGCAGAAAAATTCAAATCGCTAAACGGACATAGCGAACAAACGCCGTAAGGACAACGTAAAAGCGCGTTAATCTACCAGTGAAATGAAAGGCAGGAAAAAGAGGCGCGAAAGGAAGGATTAAAGCAAGCGAAAAGCTCAGAGGATTTCACTCACGCGAGAAAGATCGGTAGCTGCATAGAAAAGGATTCACTAAGTGTAGAACACCCGGTGATAACTGCCCCGTTGACGGACGCACGGACGACACACGTTTACATCGCGGTATGCTGACGTCAAGCAATCTCGTGTTCCTCTCGAACGGGACTTAAGCGCGCTATCAAACGTTTTCCCAGAAGTCGAGAGCTACGTGTATGTAGATGGAAATCTTCGTGCAGTCAACAATGGTTGCCGCATTGTTACACACCGCATTCTAATAATACGCCGAGTCGCGGTGAACCAGGACAATAACGAAGCACGTGGGATCGAAGTAAAGGAATAATTCAGGACGCTTCGATAATGAAACGAACGTAAACGAATTCCTCGAACCGAATCCACCGAAGTCCAAGGTAATCGGACAGTTTACATTCGATTACTGTCAAACGATGGTGAAACTTGCGAAACCTCCGTGCAAAACAACTTCCTCGGAAACGGCACTGTTTATCGGTTCGCGAATTCGTGAATATTACGAAGTACGCGTCGGACACCCTTCGAAATGCGATTCACGTGAAAATGTTTCGGAGGGGGAATTATATTGTGATGTCTCGGGCAATCAAACGAAAGTAAGGAGGCAAAGGAAAAGAGCGCTGGGACGCGCTACGAGATCGTTACTCGCGGGGGAGAACTGTCACGCACAAAATGGCCATTCGCCGTTAACAGCTTGGCAGACGAGCCTGGAGGCGGCGCTTTGCATTTCGGCTTGCTCTTCGACAGCGTACGCTGTGACAAATCGAACACGATTTCTTTTCTGAATATGTGAAAATCGCTTTACGTTCCGTTTCCATGTCCACTTTTTTTTCGTTCTTTTTTCGAAGCTACCCACGCAGTAACACAACAACCGTAGGTGACAAATTGGTCCACTTCGTTATACTTCCCAAGCTAACGTAAAGATGGCGCGACGCGACCCGGTTTTTCAGCGATTGTTTGTCAACACAACTGTTTTATAATTATCATATTTCCAACTATACAACATTCATTTTCAACAGTCGTCGTACCTGACACGGTTGATACGAAAATTTTACTTTGGTAACTACTAATAGCCAACAGTCGAGTAACATTCTTCTGATTTATGAGTATCTTTTTATTCTGTTATCCCTTCATTCAAATTTCAACGTATTCGTTTTCTTCCGTTTCACTTCGACGATCGACAAATCTTTTCAACTACATTTCTCATACAATATCATTTCTCCGGATTAACAGAACACCACATGTTTGAAATTTGAAATTAAACGCACGCTATATGTACACACACGCGCTATAGGGGGAGAGTTAATGCTAACAGGATATATACAAAGGGTCACTGAAAATGGCGGGAAGAAAGATAGATGATAGAGTGAAAGGAAGACTCAAGCGAGAAAGTAAACAATCACACGAGAAAGACGGGAGAAACTGAAGAAGCGTGGGGAAAGAGGTGGGGCAAACAACACGAAAGAAGAGTAACATCAAATGCGTTAGAACTGTGTGCAGCGAATCAACGAGAAGGAAACTGGGGGGTAGGAAGAGACGATTCCATGAATATCATTTACAGGGAAATCAAACTTACCCCACCCAAGTCTTTGATTTTTGCTTCTATTTTGGCTGTAGTAGCATGGTTTTTTATGTCCAAGTAAAAAGACTTTCCCCCTAGCGGTTTCAGATCTTTCTCTGTACGAACATCTAAAATATCATAAAAATCTATTATAGCATCAATCAAATTGTAAACTATAAAATTTTCTACGTTGTCAGGTGTGCAATATTCGATAGATTAATAGAAAAAATCTTTCCACTAGTGTTGCCATCGGTCCAATTAAACCGCGTAAGCATAAATCATTGTTGTTTATGCTGTTTCTGAAGTATAAAATTGCTTCTGGAATTCAGCAATAATATATTTCACGAACGGAAAGAAGATGAACCGATAAGAAATGAAACGCAGTATCGTTCGGAAAAGATGAAATAACATGCTTTTCCATCGGTGTTGGACTTAGTAATATAGCGTACGATGAGATCATCATGCAAATGTCAAGGAACAAATCATTTACGTACTCGACGAGTGAAAAAGTTTTACGTAAATACGTGAGACGATATGTACGTGTATCAAAAGAGAAATGGTCGAAGAAAGATTTCGTTTCTCGTATACTGATCTACATAAAAATAAACGTTTATGGGCGCATGTTAGACATACGTGAGTGTTTGGTCAATTTATTTTCTCTTGATGGCTGCTTGTGCTCTTGATGTTGAATTTTAGACGGAGATACCATTCCTATGCTATGCACCGCACACACAACAACGATAGATTCCTTTCACTATATTTTAGTATTTTTGAAGCACTTCCCATTCTCACAAACGTGCTATATATCATCACAAATACCTCTTTGCACGTTCTTCGATGGTATTCATTATCATAGAAACATCACTAGGTACCAAAACTTTCATTTTGTAACGAGAATACCTAAAACCGTTCGCACCGAACTGAACACTTCGATGAACTGAAACCAACTGAAACTATGCGTAACAGTTTGATATTTAAACCATGAAATATATAGACATAAGGATGGCCAATAGAAAAAATGTCCCTGGTATCGAAAGAAAGGGAATCAACTATATACACACCAGTAGAATCACGGTTAAAATGTATGTGTATAGTGATGTATATCAATTATATGTGTCATACGTAAGTTGTCCCCTTCTTCCACAGTCGAAAGTAACCAGCTGAAATAAGTTCTATCTTATGCGGTGATGTTTACTAGTATATAATAGATTTTTAAAAGTACACTGATGTCAGATTGTCTGCAATAATTCACTTGAATCGATGCTGTGCGTCACGATCGGTTGATTATCACGGTAAATGTGGTTAGATACGATCGAAAAAAAAATTTATAGCGCCATCTACGGTAAAACGCCCAAGTTACAAGCCAAACAGTACCTCACTCGTGTCCCTAGATGGCGATACCGTACTTCGTGGTCGATACAGGGAATTATTTAAATAAGTTAATTGTCCGTAGAATATTAATATTGTTAATAAATAACATTACAAAAATTTCAATCATAACACAGATGGATGTGCGATTTTGCAATGATATTAATCGGTAATAACTTGGCCCCTTCACCATAGGCGGCGCCATAACTGAAAGCGCCAAAATTGAAAATTATTTATTCACGGATAACGATTCTGGCATATGCGACAACGAGTGACACAATTCGAAAAAAATGTGTAAATGTAATTTACGTGGTTTTCCTATATATTGTAAGATGCATCAAATACCACTGAAGACACGGCATGAGAATGAATTCTCGTTTTGGTTGGTAATTGTAGCGGACAGCAGCGGAGTGGGATGGTCAACTGTGTGTTTGTGCATGTGTTCTGATCGTCTGTGCAAAGTGGTAGGAGTTTAGTGATTGGAACACACTTGCACACTTGTCTGTCAGAGCCGTTGTGAAAGCGATTGCCGGACGGGTGGATCGTTGTAATGACCTATTCTATTAAATGCGAAGAATGTCTAATTTCTTACGAAGTCTGGTTCTCGGGGTGCTCTTCAGCCTTGTGAATACTAGTATACCTCAGCCCTGGTACGCAACTTTACCCGCGATAATCGCCGATTACAAAGTGCACATTGATGCCGGAAAAGAGGATTGTTACTTTCAATATGCTAGCGCCGGAGCCGATTTCTACGTGAATTTTCAGGTATATAGCCTTTCTTTGCCAGAATTACAATATTCTGATGACGTGTTTACTCGAAGTGGAGATTTATATGCTTTTTAAGATTTGTTACAAGCAACTCTTGACCATATGGTCATACATGGTGGCTTGGAAATACATTAGCGTTTATACTATTTTTATGAAAGGAGAAGAGAATATTCGACGATATTTATAAATACAGGTAATACGGGGCGGAGATGGTAAAGCTGGATTAGCTGTAAGAAATCCGGAAGGTGTGCTAGTTCATCCTTATCAATGGCTTCCTGATTCAGCTTATCAGGATACGGTGAAAAATGCTGGCTACTACAGCATATGCGTGGACAATCAGTTCTCGCGATTTGCTTCGAAATTAATCAATTTGTATATCTCTGTGATTAGGTAATGTGCCGAACTATGTATCTATAATACATGTGAAGTTTATTTCAATTTATCTGATGATAATGTATTTTACAGGTACGATGAATGGGATAAATATTCCAGGGAGCTGGAAGAATTACATCTTTCCGTTGATAATTTCACAGTATGTATCTTCTATATTGTTTATTTAGGCACCATAACATCGAGAGTCGTGTGTTTTTCTTACAGAGTACAATAACTAACGTGGAGAAAAATATGAACGAAATGCTTCAAACTCAACATTTGAGCAGAAGCAGGGAAGCACGAGATTTAAATTTGTTGTTGGACAACAATTTTTATGTCCAAATGTGGTCCATTGCCCAAATAACTGTCATTATAATAACAACAACGACACAGGTATATTTTGTTAGGAAATTGTTCAATGTAAAGCCATCTAAATATTCAAGAGCTGGCATCTAGATGGAGTAAAAATTTGTACGAAGAATTTACTAAAATTCTCGGTGTCCGACTTTATCGAAATCGTCGAATTTGCACCCGTAACAACGCAATTTCCTCCCGTACTTTTCCTAGGTTAAAGTTGACTATACTTTCTTTCCTTTTTACGTAAAGTTACTTATCAAAGAGCATACGACATAAGACTGTACTGCATTTCACATTTGCTCCAATGAAACGTTATCGCCACTCATTTGTTTAGTTCCCGCATTTTAATATAGACGAACAGATTATATTTATGTATAATTGAATTTATTAAAAAAGCATATATTGTATTTATATGAAAACAATAAATAACGACATACTTTTGTTACATAATTATTTTTTCATCGCTGCGAATCTGAATGCTACATTAAGTCTTTGGTACCTGTTGCGTTTCTCATTGGTGAGAAGAGCGTAACCGAGGTGGCCGAAAGTAGACTTTGGTCAACCAGTTTGCGATGTATGCACGGAACGAACAAGGATTGGTTTATTAAGTGGAACAGGAGAGAAAAAGTGAAAGGTTTCGGATGGATTGAAAATTTATTCGTAGTTTCAATGATCATTTGTAATTCAACGGCAGTTTATTGGATCAGTAAACGGGAGATTGTTGTTTTGCTTTTCGTTGCAGTACAGTGCCGTTTAAAGCGAGAAGACGATGCCTTTGTTTAAGATTTCTCGCGCGAACATGCTCGGAGGCGACTTCCTTCGTGTAATTACCAGGGAACCAGCCTTGCTCGCCGTCCAACAATTTCTCACCGTGGAACCAACCGTCCGACATTTTTTTCAGTACGTTTATGACATCCCCTGAAAATGGACTTGGTTTAGTCGGAGGGTTACGTTGGCTAGCGTGTTTATTAGAGATTTTTACCGCTCACCTGGATGCAACGACAATTCGTCCGACTGAATGGGAGAGTAACTGTACAAAGCGACTACTTGAGGACAATCCCACACTTCGTACAAGGTCTCGCCTACTAGACCGTGTTTCGAGGGCGACACGGCTTCTAGCCATCTCTGCCTTTCCGTGTCGCTTTCGCAAGTTAAAATATATTCAGCCTGACGACCGGAATAATTCTCCAGAAGAGTAAGTAGCATGGCATTACGTCCGGCGAACGGAGAATCTTCCGGGACTGATTCTAAAGCGATCAAGCTCCTCTTACAGATATCTATTACGGTATACGTATCGTCCTGAGTACTGGAATATAAACGTAAGATGGTAATGGAAAAGTTTACGCACTACTGGATATATTGCTTCTGGGATTCGTACCTAGACTTATATTTTGCGACTAGAAGGTAATCCGTGAGCAGTAAAAGGTAGAGTGGTGTCTTGTTAAACTTTTTCCCGAACGTGAGCTTGTATTCTGCGTCCGCTTTAGTCAACAACTGTACAACCGGTCCACTTTTCACTAAATGTTTCCCCCTCAAGAGGATAGGCTTAATTTTCGCGGAGTATTCCAATTTTCTGTCGAGCAAAGAAACGATCGTTTAAAAAGCCCACAAACGTGGCATTAAACGTTTCTTGGAGCGAAATGTTTATGTTCATCGTTACCTGGCTAAGTTTTCCATTTCCACTTCCTTCGCCGCAGCACGCGCACCCTCGTTGCATTCGGCGACAATGTAACTTAAACTGGACAATACTCTTTCCCAACGCGATCTGTCAGCGTGGTCTATCGATAACTTGGAAAGAACTGCGTCGGCCAATAATGGAAGTCTGAAGAATGTGCATCGATATGTTACGATTCGCCGCCGGTTTGAAATTTCGATCGAACTTACCGGGTTATTCGTTGCATCGGCAACATTAGAAACGAATGAAGCGACAAGCTTTGGCAAGTGGGACGGGCTTCTATTTGTGAGACGGTTTCGCGGAATTTCTGGCCCTTTTGCGTCCTAGAAATTGATTCGGTGTGTCTTGAGCGGCAACAACGATAGAACAGAATCCTCTCACCTACCTCAAGTCTTTCAGAGTCGAGTCTATGCCGACCTGATTCGTACAGTAAGCCACATATATATCCAGGCATTTGTCGGCGTATTTAAGCAACACGTCTGGCAGCTCGTGCAACATTGGATCCTGCCTCCATACGCCTTCCAGTTCGGCCAGGAACTGTTCCGACCGCTGTAACACGCTTGGGATACCGCCGAACAATTTATCTTTCTCGGTGGACGTTAACGTATCGTTGATCGCGGGCTCGTTGAGAAACTCGTTCTCCAGAACGCGGAGCGAGTTCAAGTACGATGCTTCCGAGGTCAGAATCTCGAATTTCACTTCTTGAATTTTCCTCTCCTCGGCGGTTAGATGTTCTAAGAACAGAAATAATCGGGGATTTATAGAGGACGATTTTCACTATGGAACGGTATGTTACCCAGGTAGCACATGACGCCTTGAAGATGGCTTGAAGACGGCTTAAAGACGCCTTAGACCTAAAATAGGCGTCAGATGCTATCTGGATTCGTTTTGTGTTTGCAATAATAATTCTTATTTGTTTGCTTGGTTGCATACGTAAAAGATGACTACCCGCCACCTGCGGTGTCTGACACCACAACGTTCTGTGCCCCGGTTTTGCCAAATCCGTGGTGGATTGAGACGGTATCGTATCGTCGACCTGTAATCAAACGATTCGACTTTCATTAGTGATCCTGAGCATGTTGCATACAGACCCCTCTCGATTATCGTCTGGCTTGTTCTACACGATTATTGTCCTAGGCGTTATCCCCACCTTGTTGCCGAGACTCGGTCAAAAAACGAATTTACGAGGGTCTGAAGCATTCCTCCCTACAAGA